GTTTGACTGATGTAGCAACAGTAACTAAGGGGGGAGGGGCTTAGCCAAAGGTGAATTGGCACCGAGTTTCGGTACCCAACCCTATTGATGATAAACTCTACAGTAGTGGTGTGTTACGGTGGGATATAAGACAGAAGATGCAATAGCGATAAACCAGGTATATTGAGAAAAACACTTAGGGAGTAGGTAGTGAAACTCAGTCCAAAGCACAATGGTAGCGCAGGGGCAGATGGGGAACTCGAATCCGTGGTGTGCTGAGAAGAAATGAGATCCTCCGAATGGCAGCAGACAGACCCAAATCTGTGACGTGATGAGAAGAGACAAGATCCTCTGAATGACGGCAGACAGACAGAAACTCAACCATGAACTCGGAAACAAAAGACACCAGACGAAGACCAACAGCAACGATCTGACAAACACAAGATGAAAGCCAAGGATATATATATAGAGAGAGATCGGTGATCAGGATCAGCTGGCGCTGATGACAATCAGAAAGGGTCAGTGAATTCATGAACCGTGACATGGTGTCAATAATAATCGATTAGGAGAGGCATTACAATTCGGGAAATGCACGATTCAACATCGATGCGGCAAAGTTCCACAATCGATTATGTCACTGTTTATATTCTGGCCTTGGACAATAAAGTTTGGAAGTATCAATTACTTCCGGGGGCATAATAACAACAATAAAGTTGGCTGAGGCGGAGGGAGATGACCACGATAGACGCGATAGACATCTAGGCACAATTCATGGAAAACTAGATAAGACTTCAAGGTGTATAAAACCTGCCATGCTAAAATAAAGCACATTTGCAATACAACTAACTTCACAAACCATGTTGAACGTTGGCATCCTGAGTTGGCTTCAACAACAACAACACAAAAAGTCGACACATCCCAGCTGATGAAAAATTTGCCTTGTTGTGTGCAGTAGAATTTTGATGCATCGGAGAATCGAATTGAATCGAATCGTTACCCGTTGAATCGTAATCGAATTGTGAGGGCAGTGCCAATGCACACCCCCCTACTCTACAGGACAATGATCTCCAGGAGCAGAGTTGAACATGTAAAAGGGTCTGAAAACTTCAGAAGTGCAATCACGTCAACACTAAATCTGGTTCAAAAACAACTCTATCTCTTTCTCTATTGGCCTGATATAGCTTTTCCACAGGCGTTGGTGGCAGAGCCAGTGCCTGATTTGTAACGAGCTGCATTCTTCACCATAAAAAAAACAACAACAACTTGGATTTGTTGCAAATCCTGGTTCCGAACCAGCCCCCAAAACATTTAGAAGAAGTGTAGTATATTTTTAGTTTTGTCAGCAAGAGAAAATAACTGATAATTCTATTCTCCTTACTAATATGACTTTGAGCCATTGGTTTTCTGCACCCCTTTTCTCTCTTGCCAGTAACTGAACCTGAAACCAGAAGAACTGAAGCTGGTAGTGTTGTTAAATGAGGGTTCTGGGCTTCAAGATCAAGTCTAACGTTTGGTAAAATTCTCAAAAACCTACAACAACCATGCTAGGCTTCCTCCCATCGATGAACTGGGATACTGAGTCAACTCTCTGGTCAGGCATAGGTGTTCTTCGGTGAGAGAGGAGGATCATATAGACCATCGCACATGGTCTGATGGAAAATGGGGGTATAGTGTGAAAGTGCCATTACATTGTAAGTGAATCTTGATTAAGGTCTCTAGCAGCACATGTAAGTGTGTGTATGTGGTGTGTAGCAGTGGTTAAGGCCGCTTCAATCCCTGCAACGAGTGAGCCATGAGCCATCACTATTGTGCCCTTGAGAAAGGCACTTAACCCCAGGTTGCTCCAGGGGAATTGTCCCTGTAATAAGTTCATGTGCTGTTCTATGGTGACATTGCGTGAAAGTGACGGAAACAAATTCTGCAGGCTCTGGCCGTGAGGCAATAAATACAGATTCTAATCTGTTTTATATAGTAGTGTCACTATGAGAGCTGGAGCTAAACAAGCTGCTGCCAGTCGTGAGAAATCATGGCCGAAGGAGGTACAAAAGAGAGCAATAAAACAACAAAAAAAGTAGTTAAATGTTTCCGGGATTTTGCATTTTCATGTCTTGTTTATTATTATAGTCGTTTTTCTTCTTTCCTGAACTCTGTCATTTAAATAAGATTTGACATTAACAGCTTCCTGTCCAACAGTCCTCGTTGTGCAAATGTATGTAACCTTTTTAATTGACAGGCGTAGAAAATAACCATTCTGAAAAGGGCAATTGCTCCACACAAAGCCAACATTTAGAAAAAAATGCTTTCATAAAAGCCATTCTTTTTAAAATCTCATTCTTTGTGCAAGGCTCCTTATAATGATGTAGGGCCACATACTGTAGCACCTTATATTCCATTAGGGGAGGGTCTTTGTCTTTCTCAGGTGTGAAAAGCAGTAATATTAATGGTGGTTAACGCCTCCCCGCATAAAGTTATCTTCCCCAAAACACGTCAAATAATTTTTAAAAGACTTTATTGTCTTATCTGATTGAGTAGTCTGGAAGATTTTCACAAAGTTTTGGAGCAAATACTCAAGGCTATGTGATTCAATTTTCAAAAGTCTTGTGAAGAAATAATTAGTATGGGTTTTATGACCTTATTTCAGTGACATTTTTTTTTGTTGTTTTTCACAAACCACGCATAAGCGTCATTATCTCAAAACTAAAAAGTTTTACATGCATGCTGCTGACATATTATTGTAGCAGAGTTTGCGCTGAATACAGTGTAATAATAAGTAACAGAAAAAGGCACAAATATAGACCCCTAAGGGTTAAACAGAAATGCTGTGGAACCTGAAAAACAACGTGTTCAGATACTTTTGGGAAGTTATTTCCGAGTTCAGGAATCGCAATTAGGCTACGTCATGCTAGTCCTTTTGTCTCTTAAATTTACAGAAATAGTAAAGTTTTTTAGCATTAGTGCAAAAAAAAAAAAAAAAGATGCCATTTAGATGTAAAATTTATGCACTATCAATGTATTTTATCATTTTCTGCACCCGAAATTATGAGAAATGTAGTTTTGTTGAGCAAAGCTCACAAATCGGAGTCATTAGTTGTACAAATTGTACAGTCTCAATTCTAAATACTGTACAATTAATCCAACATGACTTTAAGGCAGCAATAATTATTCGCATGTGATAGGCTACAAACTGAAAAGATTCAAGACTAAAATGTTTACCCGATGAACACAAGATCAAATTAACTTCTATTGTTCTTTAAGTTATCTGTTGTTGTTGTTTTTTTAATAGTAATCAGCTATTCCTGGAAAATGAAACATCTAAAAAGGAGTCTGTCCCTTGAGGGAAAAGGAAAAATATTATAATCTGTCATCTAGCTCATTAATATGCAAATTGAATCCTGTTTAGTCAGTCATTTTATCATCATGCGCGTAAGGTTGTTATATGCCACATCATATTTGTAGAGATGTAAAAAACATAACATTGATGCCTTTTCAATTTGAATATTAATGAGGTTTAAATTATTTGCTGCTCTTCCAGATTTAACAGGTTCTTGGATTTATTAAAGTGTACACAACAAACATCTTCGTAAGATAGATCTTCAAACAGGGCAAGCAATTCTGGGACAGACCAAATCCTATTTGGAAGAGTTAAATGGCTCCGTCTTTGAACTGAATAATGCATTGACAGTGCAAATCAAAATATTCACTGCATTTTAGAGTGAAAGACCAAAAGCCACTCGTAGTTCAGCAAACACACAACAATTTTACAAAATGAGAACCTCAAAAGATCAATATTGAACATCACCATTTCCATGAAAAGGTGAATTTGGGTTTGCAGATTTGTTAACCACTAAACTGTTCAGATTTTCATGGATGTTGATCCAATTGGAATCTGTGATTTTGACATGGGTAACTGCTAAACAATATTGGTATGTCATGTAAGTTTGCAGAAATAAAATTTTGTATTAAATATTTGTGTAACAATTTGGGAGGGATTGTGCTCCCAATTCAGCTGGCTTTAAAATATGATGCAAATTGTAAACATCTCCAAAAAAGTAAGACCACAAGATAACATAGCACCAGTAGAGGTACGTTTATTTTCATAACTCACAATTATTCGAGAAGAACCACTCAGTCTTTTAATCATTACAACTCTTATGACCAACGAGTTATTTTTATTGAAGGTCACGATGAAACTCGGTTACAAATAGTCAAAAGGTGAAGAAACAGCGGGTCAGTATTGCCTGGTGACACAGGCAAAACAACAAAACATAAATTATAAATCCATTTCACACTTTTATAAGCCCTCCCAAAAACAATCAGGCATTGGTATAACATCTAGAATTATAGGGCCTTATGAAATACCTACAATATGCTATACCTGCAGGGAAATCATTTTGTTAGAATTAAAAAATAAATAAATAATAGCTATAATAATAATTACAAAAAATAAAATATGTATCTCTGTCCCACATTCTGTTTGCAACTGTGTTGATAATAAAACATAAGAAGTGACAGAATTTGGAGTTGGTCATCAGCTTGGCAGGAAGACAAGAACACATCTATCCATAGGCTATCTATTCTCATTTTTAACACAATATTGTCACACTTCTTTTTGCTTTAATTTTATGGTTTTAAACGGTATTTAGGCAAAGATTGGGAAGTTTGTGAGTAAAATAAAGTAAAGCTCATATAAGGTGAATGAACAATATTTTGCGACAGTTTGAAGAAAAAAAAATCTGCTCAATTACTGGCAACTTTATTATTTTATGAACAGAATCGTTTCATATATTTGTTACCTGATTTTATATGTACCTGCTCTGATCATCACCATCAAACTGAGGAATAACCAATAACCTCAAATAAACTACTTGCAAAGAACACGCTGGTCCATAACTTCCTCTGACGTCTATCGAACCAGGAAATGAAGTTTTTCTACCGCTCACATCTTTGGCACTGTTGCCTCTCAGACCCACCTGAATTTGAACTAATCATGTTGTAGCTGAATCAAATTCAGAGAAATTCAGAAAACGTGTCATTCGTCATCTCCTACGCTAATTATTCCCTCTCCCGCTGCAGAGCGGGCTTTCGTGGACTACATTTCCCACGATCCCGTGCTGCTTTGCTCTGTTAGCGCACGCGACATGTCAACAAACACCAAAGTCACTCACTGGAGTGAATCTGGGCTGTAACAGATATCACAGCATGATCGGTAAGCCCATATTTATTAACAGCTACCTGTGGCTGCCCGTAGTCTATAATAACTATGCCTTTATTTCCATTTGAAACAGATTTCAGACGGGTGATGTTGTGTCATAATGTTGACATCGGGCTACCTTTAGATGACAGCTCACTGCGCTATTAAAATAGTGAACATAAACACAACATAATTGTTTAATAAAGAAATGTGAGGCATAATCAAATCATATAAAATGTTATATATTACGCGAATTCAAAGAAATGTAAAGGAGAGTAACTTGACAACACATGTGAACTGTTTCACCAACAAGATCTACTACTACTAATACTGTATATGAGGCTACGTTGACTTCTGACCTTTTTTTAATTCAGGGTGAGTTTTGGAAGTCTGCATTTGTTTGCAGACAGCTTAAAATTTATGAAATATGAAAAAAAGCAAAAATTACAAGGTAACAGAAATATCCAATATTTGTTATTTTTATCTATGATGTGATTAATAAATTATTGTATAAATGTATAGCATTTAAATTCATAACGATTGCTCCAACAAAAATGTGACCGTATAAAATACCTGATATTTATATAGCATGAAGAACACAGTTCAGCCATTTAGTTAAAAATCCACCTTGTGTAGTTGACTGAGTAGATGTCAGTGTGATTTTATTGTGTGCACCTGTTTACCCAACAGCTCATAGAATTGATGATATTAAAATTTAGATTTAGAGGACATACTTTAAAAAAAGAGCTTTAGAAGTAGATGTTTGAAACATACAAAGAGAACACAATAATTTGTGTCAAAACATCGAGTTACAGAGAGCTGCATGACCTTTAAGAAAACTTTCCTGTGTGACATGAATGCTCATATGCATTTAATACTTGTTTGGAGGAAATCATATTTGCAGAGTGTTCTTAGATAGAATACCACTATTTACTTATCTGTGATTAATGTTTGTTTTTCATCTATAGGCCTATAGTTTTTTAAATAATTATGGTACTTTTTAATATTTTATCAGTTCTTTATAGAGATGAAAGCAATTTTGTGGACAGCCATTTTGAACACAAATGTTTTTGATGAAATGTAAGAGCTTCCCATCCCTCCATTTACAGCTACGCCACTGACATTTTAATGCTTCAAAAAACTAATAAATAGATCCTAAAACTCCATATGAATTGACCGGTTTATTATTAAGGCAGTGCACTTTGCGTGCATTCAGTAATGCCAAACCATGCACGCAGTAGCCTGCTTGCTTTTATGTTAAATGAACGTTTGTGAATGTTAATGCTTTAATAACAAACAATTTATCGGGCATTTATGCATTTTAGCATTTATGCTGATGTGTATTGCATGGTGGAGACACGTAGGCTAACTTGAAAGTAGGCTATTTCATGGAGGTAGGCTACCGAAAAAATGTATTTATACTTTTTTTGCGGGCGGGAGCGGGACGAAACATGAATGTTGTGGGTGGGAGCGACAGACGGTAACATATTTTTGCGGGATAAATCCGTTCCGCGCAGTCTCTAGTTGCATTTAAATTACTTGCACTTGCTTCTCGCCTCCCTCTACCATTTTATGCGACCACGACAAAGCACGTATGTGACAAATGACGTCAGAAAAGCGTCAGTAGGCTACATTATAATCGGTTATGGTTTATTACTAAACCGATACCGAATCGTCCTCATCTGTATGAGGTTTATTTTTTTGTTACGCATCACGTTTGAGCACGTTTGACCAAAGAGTTCATTCTCATATTAAGCAGCACATTTGAGCTCCTGCAAGAACCAATGAGGTTCATTCGTATGTTAAGCAAGCAGCACGTTTGAGCTTCCACAAGAACCAATGAGGTTCATTCTCGTGTTACGCCGCACATTTGAGCTCCTGCAAGAACCAATGAGGTTCATTCTCATGTTACATAGCATATTTTATGCTTCAAGAGTTAGTTCACCCCAAATTAAGAATTCTGTCAGTAATTACTCACCCTCATGTTGTTACAAACCTGTAAGACTTTCATTCATCTTCAGAACACAAATTAAGATATTTTTGATGAAATCTGAGAGCTGGACCACTCCTCCATAGGCTTCTATTGTAATTGAAACCTGCTGGCCCAGAAAGTTAGTAAAAACATCGTTAAAATAGTCCAAGTGACTACAACGGCTCAACCTTAAATTTATCAAGCGATGAGAATACTTTTTGTGCATAAAAACAAACAAAAATAATGACTTCATTCAACTATTAATTTTCTTCTCTGTGGGCCTCTGAGTTAGGGTGACCACCATCGAACAATCCAAATGTGGGACATGTTACCAACACTAAAAATACCCTGAAACTGTTATATAATGTCTATCTAACTTGATAAAAACATTTATATTCTGCCTTTCAGCTGATAAAAATGATTTGTTCTTTAGTCCCTTCCAGAAAAAAAACCTTTATTTTACATGTCACTTAAAGGGGGGGTTGACTGCTTTTTTTCTTTGCATGATTGTGTTCATGGGGTGCAATATAACATGTATTCGTGGTTTTTCGTTTTTAAAAAGTCTTATTTTTCATAAACTTCACGTTTATTGTCAGCCGCGCTCTCTTCTGTCCTCGAACGAGCGGTTGACTTCCTGAGTCTATGAAACCACTCCCTCAGAAACACGTAGTGGGCTCAGATTGGTTAGCTTGCCCCGGTGTGTTGTGATTGGCTAAACTGTCGCTTACGTTGTCCGGAAAGTTAACGCCCATTACCTTTACAGGCACGTCATGAGCTCCGGTCCAGATGTAAATATGCGTCGAACTGCAGTATCAGTTTGAGGCAGAATCAGACCGAGAAAGCCACGATGAAGAGAGTCAAACAGAATCTCACCACATACTACAGCTCTTACTAAACATTTCTGAATGATAATTTGCCACATTTTGTTTAACTTTATACACGTTTGTTTTACACAATAGCATCTGATTGGCAACAATAGCAACTGACTGGCTACTAATATTATACTCAAACAGCGGTGGCAAGTTTACGCACTTGATCAAATCGAAAATAACGTCATAAAACATATATGAAAAATACATTTACAACATTAGTACTTATACAAAATTCATGTTTGTACGCATTTGTCATAGACACAAAATAGCATAACTAATAGCCTAGTGGCAATAAAGCCAGCGCTGGCATTTGAAAAAAATACAACACAACGGCTACGTCTGGAATTATACATGCAAATACATTTAAAATGATGAAGTCTTGGCCTACTTACAGGTTGTGGCCCAACAACTGCTGCCTCTGGTTTTAAAGTTGGATCTGCTTCATGTTTTAGTTGTTGAATCCGGTGTTGGAAATTCTGGAAGCTGTCTTCCGTAAAATGCGCAGCACAGAGAGCTAGATTACGATCGTCATTTTCAGGAACATAATCAAACATAAATAGTATCCATTGTTGACGAAGTACAGCGTCCGTGGGAAGCTCGAACACATAAGACCTGACAGCTGCGTGAACAACACACTCGACGAGCTGCTGGAGCTGCAGAAATATGCGCATGCCCTTTTCTGCATATTCCGGAGGGAGTGGTTGATGCAAATGTGTGGGTTAGTGACGTACCATAACCCAGCTGTAGTCCCAATCCAGTCGTTTTTGTAGGCAATATACTTCCTGATTTTTTAAAAGACGATATCTCTGCTTACACTGAACTTTCAGCGCTGCAACTTTGCAGATACTGTTCATGCACCAACAGCAACATTACACACTATTTAAAATGAAAAAAGTGAAATCGCAGTCAACCCCCCCTTTAAATTGAACATCACTGAGCCCAAAGGCAGCAGGAATCTAAATATTTTAGAAACAGTTCTGACCAAGTCCAACAAAAATCAAACAAAATAAACAATGAACAAATAAAATATAAAACAACATGAAATTAGATAGACAGCCGGAATATATTAAAAAACATATATATTTATTAAAAAACAAACTTTCATATTTTTAGAAAGGATGTGAATTAAAACAACCACTGCAGGTTAAAAAAACAACAGATACATTCCGTTAAATTAAAAATTTACTTTACCGAATTATCCATGTGTTTTCCGACAGGGAACACATGGAACGAATCACTGGTCCACATTTTGATTAACAGCCGTCACAACCTATGAGTGACCGTGTTTACTCCTTTCTTTTCAACCATTGGATAGGATATAAAACACAGCTGTTGTATTTGTACTTATGACGAAGCGCTGAAAACTACGAATCAAAAGTAATAAGTAAAATGCTTTCTTAAAAAGGCAAAAGAACGCATGCACGTTTTCTTATGATACTTAAAAACCAATAGACTGATGAAAAATTTCGTTTTAACTCCTACGATGGCCAATGGGGTGGGTACGTAACTTACATTCGCAGCCTGACTCATATGAGTATTCATGTGCGGCGGCTTGCTGACGGCAACGGCTGGCTGTTTTGAATGAGAAGACCCGGTTTCTGTGAACGGGGAGTGCTTTATGAACATTCTGTGACGCGCGAGCAGCGCCGATGACGGTGTGTCTGTTCGTGTGTCTGTAGAGTGAGTACTCATGAGCGGGAGACACACATAACCCGAGGGAGGATAAGGTTGAACTGGCCGTGTGACAAAGCGGGCATAAGATGGACACGAGCGCGAGTTCGCGGCCGAATTTAATGACGCGGAGCGTTGTTAACTAATTGATCCATATATAAGGCGCTCCGGATTATAAGGCGCACTGACGTTTTTTGAGAAAATTAAAGGCTTTTAAGTGTGCCTTATAGTCCAGAAAATATGGTATCAGTCTCAAACAATCCCCCTCTTCACATTCGACACGGTGCAACGCGAAAGGCGAAGCTTGAATTAACGGGTATGTCCCTCTTTGGCTAATGTACTTTCAAGATGGAGGGGCAACATGGCGACCGACATTAGAACCCCTTACCCGTATGTATTTTCAATGGCATATTATACACTCACGAGAATCCTTTATTACTTGAACGAAGTAAACATACATTAATGAGCACATATATTTTTGAAAGAACTAAGTGTTTTTT